AACATTTCCAAAAGAGTCAACTTTAACATAAGCATAAAGCAGTGGAGGCATTTAGTAAAACGTTCAGTGCATGTCTGCAAACTCAGAATCTGTTTTTTTGTTTTCATCTATTCTCAAATAATAAAACTCCAATTGTCCTAAAAAAAAGCAAAGGCAAACAAAAGAACACCAGCTCTCTCACCTCCTTTGCGACTTGTCCATCTGCCATGACCCACTTGATGCGGTAACCTTTAACTCCACCGGATGCTTGGTCCCAGCTGATGTGGGCGGAGTTGTGAGTGACGTCAGAAAACTGGAGGTTCTTGGGAGGATTCAGCGGTACTGAAAGGACAGAGAGTAATTTGTGACATTTTCTTTGAGAGTGAGGATATCTTTGGAAACAATTTAAAAATGAACATTTCAAATGTGCTTATGATTGTGTGTGCATTTTTTACACGTGGTTTCCCGTTGTGTAACAGGGTCACCGGCCTCCTCTCCATACATGGCAAAAACAGTKACAGAGTATTCAGTTTCAGGCATCAAGCCGTCCAGCTCCACGTCTGTCACTGTGTCAGGTACGTTCATCTAGAGGAACAATCAAGTAAAAACAAACTGTAGACCAGGGGTCTCCAACCAGTAGATCGTGAGCTCATTTAAAGTTGCTCTTCAGTGCTTATGAAAAAATAGGAGAASCAAAATTTAATTTGTCACTGGCCAAYCAAACTTTAATTTAATTACAATCAGGTCAWTCAAACCGTTTATGTAAATTCAKTGTTCTTTATGGTGGTTTCATGTAAATGGTAAATGGACTGTACTTATATAGCGCTTTTCTATCCATCCAGGACACTCAAAGTGCTTTACACCACAATCTGTGTCCTCATTTAACCATTCACACAGCGTTCTGTTAGATCTCCTACAAAGCTAAAATGTACAATCCTCTATGGAGACTAATCRGTACCAATCACATTCATACACTGATGGGACACATCAGTGGCATTAGGGGTGAAGTGTCTTGCCCAAGGACACAACAACTGAGACAACTTGGACGGGGGATCGAAACCAGTGACCTTCTGGTTTCAGGACTACTCCCCTAACCACTCTGTCACAGCCGCCCCCTGCCAATGTGAATTGAAGACAATGGGCCTCATGCAAGAACATGTTTGTATTCTTATCCTAAATTTCTCTT